TTACATATATATTATTTTTGGATTCTTATTTTTTAGTCTTTAACTTTTTAAATCTTTCCTTGATTTAACTCCTCCCAAATCTACCAGGATGATGGTTTGTAGGCCACCAAGGAGAAGTTAGTAAGCATATTACATAGTCAATAAGTTAACTTAACATTTCAGGCCTCCTGTTGCCCCTTTAGCAACCCTGCCACTTTGATATTAAAAAAAATTATATATTTTTTATTGATTTCAGAGAGGAAGGGAGAGGGAGAGAGATAGAAACATCAATGATGAGAGAAAATCATTGATCGGCTGCCTCCTGCACACCCCACACTGGGGATTGAGCCCGCAACCCGGGCATGTGCCCTGATAGGGAATCGAATCATGACCTCTTGGTTCATAGGTCGATGCTCAACCATTGAGCCGCACCGGCCGGGCAGCCCTGCCACTTTGTGGTGTCCCTGCAGTCCTGTTCTTTTACCGCTGGCTAGTTCCTCCTTCTGTCTCTTGCATCTTCTTACCCTGTTCTTCCTGCATTGGCTTTAATCCTGCATTGGCTTTAATCAGCTCTTTACAAAATATACATGGAATCTGACTAGTCTAAGTCATCACCGTCTCCCACCTACATTTTTGTAATAGCTTTGTAACTGTTCCCTTAGGCTATTCTAAGTATAACAATCAGAATATAATCCTCTTAAAATGTAAAGCAGATCACTCCTCAGAACTCTTCAGTGGTTTTCTAACTCAGTAAAATTCTAAGTCTTCACCAGGCTCTTAGGTCTTCACTGTAGCTGACTGGTTTCTGTTTTTCCTTAAACATGTTGAGCCCATTTCTGCCTCAGGGCCTTTGCATTTGTTAGCTCTGCCTTGAATGCATTCCCCAGATATCTCATTCCATTCGGGTCTTTGTTCTAATGGTATCTTTCTATTTAGAACATTTCCTAGCCTCCTTCCTTATTTTATTTTTCCATCATACTGCTTATCATTATCTGATATTCTGTATATTTGACTTGTCCTTTATCCTTTTCTCTCTAGATCACTGTTTCAAAAACTGTAGTATGCATTAGAATTAGCAGGAGTGCTTGTCAAAGCACATACTGCTGTGCCTCACTCCCAGATTTTCTGATTCAGTGATCTGGGCTGGGACTGGGCAATTTGCATTTCTAGCAAGTTCCCAATGATACTGATGCTATGGTCCATGAATCACACTTTGAGAATCAATTCACTTGTCCATCCAATACAGTGACCACTCACCACATGTGGCTATTTAAATTGAATTTAAATGAAATGAAATTAAATTTAAAAATTCAGTTTGTTAGTCCACTAGCTCAGTGTATTTCAACTGCTCAACATAAGAATGTCCAAACGTACAACACATTTTATGAGTTTATTTGAGCCAAACTGAGGACATGCTTGGAAGCAAGATCTCAAAAATTCTCTGGAGAATGGCAGTTTGGCAGTTCTCCTTATGCGTTTGGGGTCAAATTAGGGAAAGTAAGGAAGACTACATGAAATCCACTGGTGGTAGATTAAGGAGGGAGAAATCTGATTGAATAAAAGTAAAATAGAGAGAACATTTACTGTAAATAGGGATGGTATATGGGCAACAAGATCATGTGTGCCCTTGAGGATGGTTAGAGGGGTTTGGGAAAGGGGATTATTCTGGCATTTCAAATGTTTGTTAATCTAGATGCACAAGATCAATGGACAGGACTTGCCTAGGTAAAGATAAACCTTTTATGAAAGAAGTTATAGGCCTGGGGTGTGACTACCCACCATGACCTGCCCAGTTAGTAATTTATGTTCAGGTCACCCTGTGAGGTTACCTTTGGTCACTGAGCTTGTCAGATTCACTTCATAGTTCCTTTCTCATTCACAATAGCCACATGTGGTGAGAGTCCATTGTATTGGACAGCACAGATAGAGAAAATTTCCATCCTTGCAGAAAGTTCTATGGGCAGTGTTCTGGGGCACACATTACATGAAGATGGATTTCTTTTCTGTCCCCTCCCCCCAGGGTTGTATCCTCATATTTGTATATCTGGTCCACGTGGAGTTTGCTATAGTGTAGGAATAAAGTAGATACATAAACTTTTTTTTTTAGCATTTAAATGTATTTTAATGAGAACGCTTTTTTTTATTGAGTGCAAAATCCTGGCCATGAGTGTGGTGACTATTCTCTGTAGATGCTGCCGACAGGAAGCTGAGCAGAGGAAAGACCAATACATACCATTTTTTTTTTTCCAGTCAGATGGCTAGTCAGTTTTCCCAATACCAGTTGTTCAAAATTTAATTATGCTCCCAGAAATTTGAAATATCATTATTAGATGTAGTAGTAAATTCTCATCTGTATTTGTGTCTGTTGCAGAACTTTCTGGTCTACTGCATTTATCTTTCAGGGTATGGGAATATTTTCAAGACAAAATTGACTTCTGGAATTACTGAATAAAGATTTGAACCTAGAATTATAAAATGAGATAATAAAGTCAGAAAGAGTTCTGTGATTATTAGTTGCCTTTTGAAGAGGCATTTTTTATTAGAAAACATTTAGGTAGTGTTGAGTTCAAAGGTCAGGATATAGCTCTATGTTAGCATGAAAACTTTTTGCCGTGAAATCTGCTATAGTGTGCAATGACTTCTCAGTGTAAGAAATATCTAAACCTTTGGAGAATTTTTATAGAAATTTATTTAAGCTACAACTGGTGATAATTACAGGGAAGCAAAATCTCAAATACTTTGGAGAATTGACAGTTTTTCAGTTTTTTTATGCATATAATATTAAGGAGGGATCCTAAAGAGGATTACATGAAGGTGGGAGAAAGCAAGGCAGGGACGGAGTTACAGGATAATTAAGATTATGTGATCTCCTGAAGGTGGTTATGCTTATTTCAAAGGTGTATTAACCTAGATGCATAAAAGCAATGGACAGGGCTTGCTTAAGACAAAGATATGCCCAGTTAGGAATGTATGGTCTAATCACCCTGCGAGGTAACATTCCATAGAACCCCTTTTCACCCACAGATTATAGATGACCAAACTGACTGAGGCAGTAGGCCATTTTTATAATATTCTTGGCCCTATCTATTAAATAATAAAATTAATGTATCACAGATTAAAACAATAATTCATTAAGGCATATCAGAAGGGTTAAATAAGAAGTGTATATAAAGAGTGTTAAATTGTTCTCTTTTTTAAATATATTTTATTGATTTTTTACAGAGAGGGAGAGGGGTAGAGAATTAGAAACATCGATGAGCGAGAAACATCGATCAGCTGCCTCCTGCACACCCCCTACTGGGGATGTGCCCGCAACCAAGGTACATGCCCTTGACCAGAATCGAACCCAGGACCCTTTGGTCCACAGGCCGACGCTCTATCCACTGAGCCAAACCAGTCAGGGCTGTTCTTACTTTTTAAAAATGGAAAATGTTTTTCCTTAAATGTTTATATGTTTGTACATAAAAGGGTATCAAATGATAAAAAATAGGGATTAACCAAACAGAAACAAACTACATCAATAGCTACTTTTGTCTTATTAACTTATATTGTGTATTTCTAAAATACTGAACATTTTGGTTTTTTAAATTCTAAAGAACTATACCTTTAAGAAATGATTTTCAAAATGTAAGTTTAGTTTTCATATGTATTACTTGGCATGTTTCTATAGAGAGAAAGAGAGCTATAATCTGAATTTATCACCATTTACTCAGGCAATAGTGGACAGTGTTCCATTAGGTTGGCTGTGAAAGCTTTCTCTTCTTCCAGATCAACTGTATTTATAATTATACTAGAGGCCCAGTGCATGAAATTTGTGAACTGGTAGGGTCCCTGGCAGCTGTTGGCTGCCTGCTGGGTATGCCCTCCCTTCCCCTAGCCACCTGCTGTGGGCCAGGGCCTCCCTCCCTTCCCCTAGCCGGCCCTGCTCCCTGGCCAAACTCCCAGACAAACTCCCAGTCAAGGGGACAGTTTGCATACTATGCTTTTATTATATTGGATTGTATTTACCTAGACATTGCCTAATCCTTCTTAACCTTTTTTACTATCAGAAAAAGAAGGCACCATTTCCAAGTTTAGAATTGGACGTAACATCAATTTGCTCACATAGAGTACTGTCACCATAAACTTCAACAATACCATTATGCTAGTCTACCTCTAGGTGAAATTTAGTATGTACTATCCAAAGCAAAAATTTGGGCTGTAAACAAATTTATGTATGAGCATGTTATGTCAAGAGAAGGACATAAAATTTCTAAATATTATTGTGAAAGCATCTAATAAAGACATAGGGAACATATTTTGAGGACTGAAAACTTATTCCAGAGAACATTTTTTTTACTGAGGGACTTCAAGTCTTTTATTCATTTTCCCTGATATATGTATAATAAGGTACCTCTTGTATGTAGGGGCGGGGGGGGGGGGCGGAGAGGAGGGAGGTGAGGGTACTATTGTAAAGCATACCTCTTTATCCTATGGAGATTGGAATGGCCTGAGGTTGGGCAACAACCACCAAAAGCTGAGGTTGAGGTAGGGAGCTGAACATGGGGGACGGTTTGGGAATCTTTAAGTATTTTTGTCCCCAACACTACACAGTGTCAGACAACTACCCTTCCTTGGTGGGAGACTGCCTCTCTGAAAAAACTGAACCAGAGAAGCTAGAAACCTGGGAACTCCATTTAGGAGAATGGGGATTAGGTGCATATGAAAACAGATGTACTAAATTAAAATTGGCATATAAGTAGGGAGATTCTTAGCCTCATTTTCCTGTCTGAAAGCCATAGCCAGAATCATATCTCTAGTTATGAGATTGAAGAATAGTTTGTGTGTTTTTTTGTTTGTTTTTACTGACATTTAAATATCTTAGTGGAAACATTAATGGCCACCTGCTTACCCTCAAGTAAAACTCGTCAACCTGTACCTCAACCCATGGAAATAGGACCTTTACACAGTGTTTTAGTGCCTCAGTCAACTTTAACAGTTGCTGAAATTGTTTTATGATCTGCATTACTTTTGTTTTACAGTAAACCTATGATGGATTTGCTGATATTCCTCTGTGCCCAGTATCACTTGAATCCATCAAGTTACACAATCGATCTGCTGTCAGCTGAAAAGAACCCCATTAAATTTAAGCCAAACACACCAATAGGAATGTTGGAGGTGGAGAAAGTAATTTTAAGGCCAAAAGTTTTGGATAAGAAAAAACCTACACCTATAATACCAGAGGTAAGAATTTCACTGTATATTTTGATATCTTATGGCTAAAATACTAAGTTGCTTTTCCAGCCATTATCTTTAGTTCATTATAAATATATAATCGCCTTTCCTGGTCAAAATTGATGTGAACATGACTGTCATATTTTCATAGACAACTTTTTTAGGATTCAGTTGGTTATTGATCCTTGGGTTAAATAGAATTTGGGAAATACTTTAGATTTTAGATGCTCTAAAGTGTTCTATATGTCAGTATTAGAATCTGACAATTATGAATCATCTGTATTTCAATCTACTCTTTTAAAACGTATTTTATATGTACAGGAAGGTTTTAGAACTTTTTAATGAAAATTCATCTCTATCTCCATCTCTCTCTCTTTCCCCTTATTTTGATTCTGTAACTTGTTTCCTGGGCAGCATGGGCTCACTTCTTCCATGGCTCATTACTTCTATCTCTAAATAAACTTAAAAGAAAGGAAAGACATTTGTTTAAGAATTTATTAAAATATTTTTGGCTTCATTTACTTGGCAAGTGGTGGTTGTAACTTATTAACTTATACATTATTTTTCATTTGAGCTACACAATGGCTTAGTTTTCTGTAATGTATGGATTTTAAGCAAAAATTTTAACCAAAATGTTCTAATATTATCAATTCTTTATATAATTGTTCTTTATAAGCAATAGAGGTAGAAGCTTATGGATTTCAAGAAATATTCTTTCATTAGCAACAACACCAACCATTTTTAACTTCAGGAAATATATAAAGGTTTATATATTAATAGTTTATTTACAAATGACTTGAATGCACATATTCTCACATTTTCTTTATATTCTTTTTTAAAAATATATTTTATTGATTTTTTACAGAGAGGAAGGGGGAGGGATAGAGAGTTAGAAACATCGATGAGAGAGAAACATCGATCAGCTGCCTCCTGCACACCCCCTTACTGGGGATGTGCCCGCAACCAAGGTACATGCCCTTGACCAGAATTGAACCTGGGACCCTTCAGTCCACAGGCTGATGCTCTATCCACTGAGTCAAACCGGTTAGGGCTCTTTATATTCTTAAAAAATTTTTTTACAAATAAAGGTAATTTTTTTTTACAATCCTAAAACATACTTGCTCTCTATAAAAGGTGGTTGAATATTAATTAGGTTATTAGACTATATATCTAGATATATATGCTATTTATCTAGATAGAGATAGTATTATTTATGCGATAGCATGGCATAATATGTGGTGTTTCAGTTTTATGAATACATGTTAAGTTTGAGGATCTGCAATCTGTAGATTTCACTTAGCATGGTCACGTGTTTCAAAGTTCTATTTATATACAGGATTTAATTCAGTTACATTAAAATGACCAGATGCTTAAAATCTCAATAATTTGGAATTAGTAGCATTAACTATATAAATAAGGAACACTTTAATACTAGTTACTAATATATTAAAATTAGCCAAAGTAGTAATAATAATAATAGTGACAATAGGTAGTAATAATAGCTAATGTTTATTTATTGTAATTTTCTATGTGCCAGACACTATGATAAGTTCTTTGCATGGATTGTCTCATTTAACTTATTTCAAAAAAAAGTTAAAAAATGTTAGTGTTTTAAACAAAATAACCCTTTTTTGACATCTAACAAACTATTAAAAAGTAAATATTCCACAAATAAAAGATAGAATAAAACATGCATAATTCTGTATTATTATGTCTGTTTGTTAATTTTAAAATAAATATTTTAAGGAACAAAGCAAAAATATCTGTTTCTTTTGGATTTAAATCGACTTAATACTTTACTATACAAGGGTGTGAATTTAATCTATATTTAATAAGCAAACTGTTTCTAAGAATCTGATTTGGATTAGGAAGTAATATTAATCAATAAAAATCTTACACTAAAATAAAAAATTCTGTGTATTGTATGAATATATACTTGTAGATTTCTCATTACTCTAGACATCATTGTAGAATGTTTATTTCAGTATATTATGGTATAACTATGGCTTTAATCTGTGTTTCAGAAAACTGTGAGAGTAGTGATCAACTTTAAGAAAACACAGAAGGCAATAGTGAGAGTTAGCCCACATGCGTCACTCCAAGAACTAGCACCCATTATATGCAGCAAATGTGAGTTTGATCCGTTACATACGCTGTTGTTGAAGGATTATCAGTCTCAGGAGCCACTCGACTTGACAAAATCTCTTAATGACCTGGGACTAAGAGAATTATATGCCATGGATATCAGCAGAGGTAAGACTTTTTGTTTTATTCATTTGACAGGATGTGCATATATGTATATGTGTATTGTGTTTATGTATAGTTTTTCTCAAGTTCATAATGGCACTTTAAATGGATCCTATAGATAGAAGTCAATACATGGCACTGGGAATAAGAAGAGAAAACAAAATATAATGTATTTTAATTTGATTTCAATTATTGAAATTGAAATAAAAACTTGTCTTTTTTAGCTATCATCACATTTTATACTTTTCCATCTACCTATGAATACTTTTTTTAGTGGAATTTAACTTAATTCTTTGTGGCTTGGAGATTTAAGCAGAAAATAAAAAATTTACATGTAAATTCATTATGGTTCTAATCAAGCATGAATTACTGTAGACTCGCCATGATTTTGGCGGAGTCCTAATTATCATTCAAATTTGGAAGTTTCTTGCTAATTTGTTTTCCTAGGGTCAGCACCCAAAATTAACTGGCTTAAAAAATGCATCAGTTTAATTCCAAAATTTCTCTAAATAGAAATACCAGTAATTTTCAATATTAATCTATAAAGAAAAATTTAGGGTATTAAAATTAGATAATGTTGGTTTGCATGATGTCTAATAGAGAAATGCAAGCTTATTTACTCAATATGAATCTGTTTTATTAGGAGAGAAAAAAGTTTAGTAAAGGAGGCAATTACTTACATCTTCTGTACATAGGGAACTTCACACTTGATCCTGAGATTGTGCTTTATGTAAGTCTATAGACAACTATTTCAACTCAGTGATGTTATATACTTGAACAAACATCATCTTTAAGTCAATTTACCCTCTTTTACCCCCTCCTCTGTAGCCACTTCTGTTACTGCCTCCAATAAATCATCTTTACAAGGTAAGACATATGAATCAGTAGAAACAAAACATAATGTGAAATATCTATTTCTATTGGTAAATGGAAAGTAAGCTTCTAATTTTATTTGCTTTCTTAATATTACTAATGTGTAAAAATTTTTTTAACGGAGACAATCTTCATGTTTTATTTCCTGAAAAATAATTTATAAGGTTCTCCTTGATTTCTCAATTTAATACAATAATTATATTTTAAAATTAATATTAACCTAAGAATGTAAGAAATATATTCTTGACTCTCAGACAAAAAATGATTTTGCTAGGATCTTTATTGGGTACAAATGCTGATAGTTTGGTTGTACCCTGAAAGAATCTTAGATTATTTTCATTGAACTATTTTTCATAATAATCAGGGTATATTAATCATAAAGAATTTTTGCAACCATTAAGTTGTTTGTGAATATTTTGTAATAACTTGGAAAATGGCTTATACTAAAATTAGCTTTTAATGCAGGTATAAAAAACTTTTACATGAAATTTCTGAAAGAAAATACATAAAAAATTTTATAGTGGTTACCTTTGGGTGGTAGGGCTATGGATGACTTTTCATCCTTTTCTTTATATTACAGAATTTTATAATGGAAATGTATTCCTTTCATAGTGAAAACTTTATTAAAAATAGCCAATAATAATAAAGTCTGGAAGTTTTCCACCCATTAAAAAGGAGTAGGCTCAGATAGTTGATTACTGTAATAATTACCACCCTACTAAAAAAAAAAAAAGAGCACAATAAAATGTACACATTTTATGTTATTAGAATCTTCTTTCTTTCCCATTTTCAATTTTTCCAGGGTACAATGAACGTCCCAATTCCAAGAATTAAGCCCACATAAATAATAGTATGATTATCTATTATTAGTGTCTAATGAATAGGAGCCTAATCAAAGGAATTAAAATTTCCTATGTAAAGTATATACTGGTTAATCAGAGGGCAGGCATTTGAATTGACAAGCTCATTTGACAAGTAGATAGGGCAGATAGCTTTATCTGTCTGGATCTAACCTTCTACTTCTATGACAATAAAGAGATTGGAAAAAGTTGTCTTTGTGGTTCTATTCCCGCAAAATTTATTTTGTTACTTTTACTTGGCTTTTGCTCCTACCTTTGCCATTCAAGTGAATCCCATAATCTTGTTGGCCTCATTTTGAAGATGCTGAATGCATTGATTTCAAATACCCCTTCCAGCCAAAAACATATGTGGTTTATTCAGAGTATTAAGTGTTATGAATATAACCATAAGACATTAGAATAGGAAAATTAAGAAAGCTCCTCTGACAGTGTCAGAATCTACAGGGTTAGTCCAATTGCTGTAAATAGCCCCCCCCCCCCCATCTCCTAACTTTATCTGATATGATCGGGAAGTTTAGAATTTTGCATGCCATTACTTACAGCCTCTCTTCTGGAAACAGGAAACTACAGTATTTGAGTTGCTTTCTAAGTAAGCTCAAGCCCTTGTTTGCCTTAGTGTTTAACTGTGACTTACAGTGATCCCTGGCATAGAGCGTTAAGTGAAGATTTAGGGGGTAACCAGTGTATATAGTAGATGAATGGGCACCTGGAAACTACTTTAAAAAAATAACTATAAGAAATAATGTGGTTATATTTATTGCACTGGACCAGTATGTGAATTTTTCATCTACTGTTCCAACTGAATTTCATTGTGTATTTATACATTCAATTAGTGGAGGATTCTATCTTAAAATGAAATAGTAGCATTCCTTTAAAAAAAAAGTAATTAAAAAAATGTTCTTTAAATGGAAATCAGTTTCAGTTGTACCATTAATGTCCACGTGTTTTGGACATTATTCAAACTCTCCGGTCACCTAGGTCCTCAGATATGTAATGGGGTGATACTACCTGCTTCCATTCTTTACATCCCACAACTTAGAAAAAGGGCTCAGAATGATAACTTATGATATCTACCTCACAGAATTGTTCCAAGAAATAAATTAGGCATGTAAAAAATCTTTAATCATGGTGTGCTACCACATATCAATTACTATTAGTTGTTAGCATTGTCAATAAACTCATGGTATCAAATGCATATTGCTTATTTAAGATTTGAAGGATCAGATTTATAAAGTTTTATTTTGTGAAATATATTTCTCCTTATGTTAGTAGGGCATATTGCATTAATTTACTAGTAGTTATTGCTTTCCTGGGATAGCCCTACTTTGTCATAATTTAATTTTTAAACATTCCTTTTTAAATAAAAATACTATACATTTACCCCTAAATAATAGGTAAATATAAGATTTTAATTAAGGCTATACATTTGCTCCTAACTGCTACTTTACCTATATCCCACCAGTTTTTAGATATAATACTTTGTTTCCTATGTCACTGAGATTACACTGTGATTTACCATAAAGCCCATATGTTTCTTAGTAGAGATGCTTTTAAAAATTTACAGATCTCCACTCCTTATCTCTCTATTAAAATATTTTTTCAATTTATTTATTGAGTAAACCAGGTCATTTGTCTTACAGAATTCCCCACATTCAGACTGTTGCTAATTGTGTCCTGTGATGCCACTTCACATATTTCCCTATCTTATTTCCTATAAGTTGATAGTTAAATCTAGAATCTTGTTGAGATATTTTTGGCAAGAATATTTCATGGGTGGTATTGTGTAATTCCATTTGCAGACATATAATGACAAGTTATCTTTTTTTTATGTTAGCCATATATAATTATTGCTATATTGTAGTTAATTAAAATTTGAAAAATGGTCATTATCTATTGCAAACATTCCTTTAATTATTAGTTGAGATATTTCTAAAAAGGCAAATTTCCCCATGTCGGCTATTTGTCTACCTACGTAGAACTCATTCAAAAAAGGCAGGAAAGTGTGATTCTTTCCCTTCATTAGTTTTTAAAATAATGGTTACCTATAAAGATGAACAATGAGGACCAATTACTTTTTTTATATCACTATGAATGCATGGAATTAAATATAGGTGTTATGTTTCAGTTTGTTGAGTTATTTTTTAAAAAAAATATATGTTTTTATTGATTTGAGAGAGAGAGGGGAAGCAAGAGGGAGAGAGAGAAACATCAATCGGTTGGTTGCCTCCCATATGTTCCCAGACCAGTGACAAAACCCAAAACCTGGCCATGTGCCCTGACCAGGAATCGAACTGGCAACCTTTTGATGAACAAGACGACACTCAAGCAACTTAACCACACCGGCCAGGGTGTTGAGTTATTCTTAAGTCCAAATTGTCTGGACTTTTGCCAGTAGAAACCATATGAGATTTATCCTTGAGTTATTTTAAAACCACCCCAGTAGATTTTGATTGCTTTCTCTCTGGTATGACTAGATATTACAGGTTCATCTTTGATATCAACAAATAATCAATCATTCTTAAGCAATCATAGTTCCCATTAGTGGGAAATGGTAGAAAGACAATCGGCCAGGTGACTTAGCACTGTTGGACTTGTCTTTGGTTGTAGGCTCTTTCAGTTGACATTCAGAAAGACTTTTTGGAGAGTGAAGTATTACATATGTTACCTTGAGGCTTGAAATTTGTCATTCTAATTAAAGTGTGATTTCTTTTAATCTTGCTACAATTGACATTTGGGATCAGGTAATTCTGTTGTTGAGGGGCTGTCTTGGACATTGTAGTATGTTTAGCTGCATCATCGGTCTCTACCCAGCAGATACCAATAACACATTCTCCTCACCCTAACCCCTCAGTGTGACAACCAAAATTGTCCCCAACATTTTCAAATGTCTTCGGGGGTGTGCAGGGGAATCACCCCTAGTTTAGAACTATTGGATTAAAGGAATATCATTTATGAAACATATAATAAAGTACTAAGAAACTATAATGAATCATGTTTTAGAGAATAAAACATTTTATCATAGTTTAGCTCTGACACAAAAATATAGTTCAAAATAAACAAAGGGGCAAATTGTATATAGCAATTTTATATCTCATTTAATTTGAAACTTTGTACTTTGAAATGTTGGTAATTATTTATGGAACACAGACTTTCTTTTTTTTTTAAATCTGATTTATGTTTTTATTTTTATTTATTTATTTTTTTATTTTTTTATTTTTTTTATTCTTTTTAAAAATATATTATAATAAGTATTACAAAGGGTATTACATATGTGTCCTTCCCCCACACCCCCTGCCCTCCCTTACCCCCCAGTGTCTTATGTTCATTAGTTATGCTTATATGCATGCATACAAGTCCTTCGGTTGATCTCTTACTCCAAATAAACAAAGGGAAAAATTGTATATAGCAATTTTATATCTCATTTAATTTGAAGCTTTGTACTTTGAAATGTTGGTAATTATTGTGGAACACAGACTTTCAAGTTACAAAGAATTGAGTTTGTCATAGCTCTGTAATTTTTTGATTATTCACCCTGAGTAAGTATTTTAATTTCTCTAAGCTTTAGTTTCCTCCACTGTGAAGTAGAAACAATAATACTAAATGTACCCATTACTTTGAGAATTGAATAAGATATAAGGTGTCTAGAAGAGTACATGGTTCATGGAAGACCATAAAGAGTAGCTTTTATAACAAAACACATTTTTCAAAGGCAAGTAATTGTGAGAAATCTTGGAAATGAACATATGATGAACAAAAAGGCCCTCTTTTTCTATTTTAGAGTCCTGCCAAATATCACAAAACTTTGACATTATGAAGGAGAAAGAAAATAAAAAGTTTTTCAGCTTTTTTCAGCGCAGTAAGAAAAAGCGGGATCAAGTAAGTATTTCCTTATTTATCATTTTATAAGATTCTTCGAATCTGTTTTTAATTACATGTGCTTTTTTATCTTGAATTTACATAGAGATTTTGCCTTTTCATTCTTTATTAGACTGCAAGTGCCCCAGCGACCCCTCTAGTGAGTAATAATCGCCCAACTTTTACAAGGTCCAATACCATTTCCAAGACATACATTTCGAACACCCTGCCGTCGGACGCTCCCAAGAAGAGGCGGGCTCCGTTGCCTCCGATGTCAGCCTCTCAGAGCGTCCCCCAGAACCTCGCTCACGTCCAGGAGAGGCCAGCTTATGGTGTCATGAAATCCATGAGTGTGGATGAGACAGATAAGGTGCGGAATTTTGTTTTGTTTTAGGCTGGGCACAGGACCATCTATTTTTCCTCTTACCTACTTGTCTTTTTCCACATAGGCTACTAATAAGGTTAGTAACAGTTACTAATATGCAATAAGGTGAATAAGTAGTCACTAGTAAGATTAATGCTGGGAAGAGGTTCTCTAGATATGTACAGTTCTATGATGCAGTAAAGAATAAATATATTGCCCAGCTGGCATGGTTCAGTGGTTGAGCTTTGACCTATGAAACAGGAGGTCAAGGTTCATTCACGGTCAGGGCAGATGCCCAGGCTGAATCCTCAGTAAGGGGTGTTCAGGAGGCAGCCGATCAATGATTCTCTCTCATCATTGATATTTCTATCTCTCCTCTCTTCCTCTCTGAAGTCAATAAAAAATTTTTTTTCAAAGAGTAAATATATCCATTTTAAGTAGCTTTCACATTCAAGAAAATAAGTCATCTGTAAACCATAAAGTGCTGGTCTATTAAGGAATAACTGGAGGCATTTGCTTGTATCTATTAGGAATGGAAATATTCATTTTTGAACATTTTTCTTTTAACAGCAACACAATCTTTGTGTCACTTTCATGAGTTTCCAACTGGATATATGTTTTTTACTTTACTCAGAGAGTCTCAGGGAGATATACTGGCATCTGCCTGGTACATAGATACTCTATAGTTTTTAAAAAATATCTTTACATAAAATGTATTGCAGTTTGTTTTATATATTTTGATGTTCAAAGCACTGTTCTAGGTATACTTTTCCCCCAAAATTTCTAATTATTGCTCCTCTTTGATCCCAGATTTTCCTGCAGTATGCTGTTTTGTGGAAATCCATTTGCAAAATTACTTTTCATGCCCATAAAAATCTGTACTTTCCTTGCTTTATTCATGTGGACAATAAATGAGGTTTTAAGTAAATGTGATTGAACATGAGGCCATATATTTTGTTGCTAGGAATCAGACAAATGATTTAAGAGCAGGTTTTATGTTGAGATATTTGGGATACTGAGAAGTTTCCCTGTGTCTAGGTGAGGGGTTTGACTTCCACCTTGGAAGCTAAGTAAACTCAATGCTGAGGTAATTTTACTCTTCCCAACAAACTAATGAATATTTATGTGCTTCCTTAACTTAAAAACAAAAGAGATTTTAATTGTAATTTATTGTAGGTGTCTTTAGAAAGTAAATAGCTACTCAAATAGATAGAAAAGGACAACATATGCTTAAACCCAGTAGTTAGCTGGAAAATCATTTAGTAAGCTATTATTTTTATTTCTATTAAGATAATCTAGTCTAATGGTTATGGTATAGTAGTAAAATCTCATCCTACAAATCAGAGGGATACCTATCTTTTTAAAGGGCATAATCATTTACTAACAAGCTTTCCAGGGTGACTGCTTGGTAGTTAGGTGAAGTGTCACAGAAGAGGTGATTCTTGGATTCAGTCTAAGATATGTGTGGGAGTGCATTCGTCAGGCAAGAGAAACCCTATTCAGAGATGCAGAGTGTGAAGCCTATAGCATATCTGGGCAGGAGCCAGAAACATAGAAACTGAGTGAGATAAGCAGGGTCCATGTCAGGGTCGCCAACAGCCTCCTTTTGTAGCTGTAACCCCTTTACACTTCTTCATAGTAAGTCATTTAAAATGCAAAATTTTCAGGACTACTTTCTATTTTTAATGACCATAAAACTACATTATAGGAGTACAAATTATGATACCCTGGAGTAACTACTAAAGTCTGTCCTTTTCTTTATAGAGAAATCTTAGCCACTCCTCACAAGTCTTTATTCCATCTGTCGTCATCCAATCTATTCCAGTAAACTTCCCTTGTGGTTGGATCCCAAAGAGGTCTCCATCGTCTTTCTAATAGTCTGCTTCTTAAAATTCCAGGCTGTGCTACCAGTGTCTGCACCAAAAGTGGTTTCTTTTGATCCACACCCTCTGCTCTATGACCAGTTGATGCCCCCATGTTAAGCAATTTTTTTCTTTTTCAGTATATTGTGTTTGGCAAACTAGACATCTTTATACATAAATTTTCTAATTTTTTTCCTTTTGATTGAGCCATCTGAGTAGTTCTTCTATGCATTGTTACTAGGACTGAGGATTATTTGTTTTTCCCTAGAAAAGCTGAATAAGATCGGTACTTAACTTGTCCTTAAATTTATTCATTATAAATTATTAACAATTAAGCTGTGGTTTTATTTATGAGTGTGTGTGTCTGTGTGACACTTATGTTCATGTGAATTCATGCCTATTTAGGTATCTCAACACCTTTTTTTTTTTTTTTAACTTCTTGGCCATATTAGATGTAATAGATGAGCCCTAGGTCTTGATTTCTTCTTCTTCTTCTTCTTTGGTCCTGATTCTCTTTTTTTAAAAAATATATTTTATTGATTTTTTTTACAGAGAGGAAGGGAGAGGGATAGAGAGTTAGAAACATCGATGAGAGAGAAACATCGATCAGCTGCCTCCTGTACACCTCCCACTGGGGATGTGCCCACAACCAAGGTACATGCCCTTGACCGGAATCGAACCTGGGACCTTTCAGTCCGCAGGCCGACGCTCTATCCACTGAGCCAAACCGGTTAGGGCAGTCCTGATTCTCTTTTGATAACTCAGCTTTTTAAAATTTTATTTGTTCTTTACCCATTTTCTAAATTTGGAAGTACCTGAGACCATGGTGTTAGCCTATATTTACTGTACTCTTTCAGAGACAACATCTGTTCTTTGTTGAGTTATTAACTGTAATGGTTTGGATAATGTCCCCGAAAAAGATATACCCCAGTCCTAACTTTCAGCGCCCGGTGAATGTGACCTTACTTAGAAATAGTGTTTGCAGATGTAATCAAGTTAAGGCTCTATTAATGAGATCATCCTAGATTTAGGTTGGGCCCAAATCCAATGACTGGTGTCCTGAGAAGAAGAGAAGACACAGGCACAGAGACACAAAGGAGAAGGTCATGTGATGATGGAGGCAGAGATTGGAGTTATGCTGCCCCAAACCAAGCAATGGCAGGAGCCACCAGAAGCTGGATGAGGCATGGAAGGAGTCGCCCTTAATGCTCTCAGAGGGTTATGGCCCTGCTAACACCATGATTTCAGACTTCTGGCTTCCAGAACTGTGAAAGAATAATTTTTGTTGTGTTAAGCCACCCAGTCATGGTAATGTGTTATGGCAGCCCTAAGAAACTAATACATCAACTTTGTAATTCCAATTCCAACATTTTTCCTGTTGCAGTTTAAACTCGTGGTTGCTTCTTGACTCATCACTACCTGGAAATCAGAATATTGGAAATCAAACTCACTCTTTTTTGTCCCATATTGAAAAGCTCAAGATCATCTTTGACATTTATTATTTTTTTCTTTTCATATCCCATTAGTGAGCAATCCTTCACTGCATCTCTCTTCATCATGTCTACTTGTCCCTCATTTTCATTCTCTCTCCTGAAGTCTGATCCTAGAGACACCCAGGCGGAGGGTAAGGAGAAGATCAGTACTTAACTTGTCTTTCACATCTTGTTTTCATAATAAAAGAATGTGGCAAGTTGCTACTTTTATATTTTGTAATTAGCACTTCTCAGTTCAAGACTTTGGATAGCTGGCTGTTACTTTCTGGGCATTCAAGGTTCTCTACAAACTGATCACAATTTGAGGGGGGGGGTTCTATTCTTTCTTTGTTTCTTTGTTTTTTTTTCTTTCTCCTTTGTTCTTTTTTTCTTTCTTTTCAGCTTTATTGAGCCGTAATTGACAAATAAAATTGTAAGATATTTCAAATGTGCATCATGGTGATTTGAAATAAGTATACATTGTGAAAGAATTCCCACCATCTAGTTATATATTCATCACCTCACATCTCTCTCTCCCCACCTCTCTCTAAGAGTACTTAAGTTCTACTCTTTTTGCAAATTTCAGTTATTAACAGTGTTATCAACTATAGTCATCATTTTTACATTAGATCCTCAGACCTTATTCATTTTACAGCTGAAAGTTTGTCCTATTGCCCCACCCTCTCCCTATATCCTCCACCCCCTTGGCAACCTTTTTCACTCTCTGTTTCTATGAGTTTGACTTTTTTAGATTCTACATATAAATGTTCCCATGCACTATTTGCCTCTCATTGTCTGGCTTATTTCATTTTATATTGTCCTCAAGCTCCATCCATGTTGTCACAATGGCAGGATTTCCTGCTTTCTCATGGGTGAATAACATTTCCTTGTGTATGTATTCATATATTATGCACTATGTTATAACTCACCTTTTGGTACTGAATGGTGTATTTTGAATATGTATCAGTACATAAAGGGTTTCTTCATTTCAAAGGCTACGTAATATTTCATTGATGTATATAACAAAATACGGGATGGTGTAAGTACCCCATCCTCTAAAGATAAACATTAGGGTTATGTTATTGTTTAAAGTTTTTAACTGTTAATTTTCTTCCTTTCCTCTTTCCCAACTAGAGGGCAGAATTGTGTTCCCCAGCAAAATTCTGTAACATATTATTTGTTCAAGGAAATCGATAAGTAAACTTTTAGCATTGCTTCCACGCAGCTGGGTATAGTGTATGTAGTGAGAATGTCTGTCACACATAATATCACTAAATTTTAGTATTTTATATGTATGTATGGTAAATTTTCAGAAGTACTGGATAACTTAAAAATTGCTTATATTTTCTTTATAGTAATTGGCCCAGGTAGTTCTTGGCAATATTTTTCTTAAGATTTTACGTAAAAACCAGAATTTTGGCAAGGTTGTATTGAATGATTAAAGACCAATAACTAAAATGTGATATATATTACCTAATGCATATAAATTACATTGCCCTCTGAATTGAAGTTGTTTATGTAGCCAGATGCAAATATTCAAGAAATTTAGCAGAACTATAAATTTATGGGTGAATTTTATTTATTTTACTGCTTGCTTGTTTTACATTTAAATCAAATGTAGTCATTATCATTATAGATATTTTATACCTATTTGATGATTGAAAATAATGGC